AAGAGGTCAACGGCCCCAGGCCTGCCGGAATAGCCAGGTCTTAGTAGACTTTCAGAAGGCTGAGAGAGTGGGGAGGGTCCGGATCTCTAGTGGTAGATCGTTCCATAGGGCCAGTTTGAGGTTTTCAAAGGGCAACTGGACTGTTTTTTCCTTGACAAAGAAGATGTTTTACTTCTGATCCAAGAAGCTTCATCAGTTCTGGCTGAATGGTGGAGGATGGATTAGTTCTGAAGGATGGTGTGGTTACGGTAGTTCTGACAGGATGTTGTGTGGGGAAGGATTATCAGCACTAAGAGCCAAGGTGGCGCAGTGGTCAGAGTGCTGTACTGCAGCCACTTCAGCTGACTGTTATCTGCAGTTCGGCGGTTCAAATCTCACCGGCTCAAGGTTGACTCAGCCTTCCATCCTTCCGAGGTGGGTAAAATGAGGACCCGGATTGTTGTTGGGGGTGATAATGCTGACTCTGTAAACCGCTTAGAGAGGGCTGAAAGCCCTATGAAGCGGTATATAAGTCTAACTGCTATTGCTAACTGCTATTGCTAATCGTTCCATCCCAAACTGATGAAGCAGAACATCTTCTTCTTCTTCCTCTAGAAAAAAAACATAGTCCAGTTGTCTTTTGAAAAAGCACCTTTGAGACAACCATGACCTGGATGATTGAGAATCTCCAGATATTTAATTTTCTTCTGAATAAAAACTTATTTCGGGAAACTGCCTCTTTGTCTGTTTCCATCTTCAATGTCGTTTTAACACTGCAAAACTGCTGTGTCATTCAACCACTCTCTGAAACTCTTTCGGCTCCTTCCAGAGAATTTTTTTCTTGGCTTCTCTTTTCTTCTTAACAATTTTCCACAATATGTTCTGACATCTGGACTGGCTTCCCTCAGTTTCCTGCTTTGGCACTCCAGGCCATAAACTCTGCCTAGATTTTCCTCTTACTATTTCCAGTTTGGGTATTTGTATTCTCCAACCACAAGCAGCACATCTGGCCTGTTGAATTCAGTCTGAATTTAACCACTTGGTAATCTTCTCATTTACTGCAGCAATGGTTGGAGACTAAGGTTGGATAATTGTCAGATTAAAGAGGTTAGGTATTATTTGAACATTGATTGCATTTTTTTGTCAAGTATGGTCTTTGCTACTAATAGATCCCCCAAATCAATAGACATTAGCAAACAGAACCACGCACAACAAGATAATCTTGAAATCATTATAAACTGATAAATTGCATAAAACAAAAGTACTTGCAGAAAAAGGAATAATATTTTTTTCCTCCAAACTACTGACTTGTACACAGAGAAGCAGCAAAAGGAATCATGGCGGTGCAGTGTTTATAAGACAGTATTGCAGGCAAACACTGCTCACAGCCAGGAGTTCGATTCTGACCAGTTCAAGGTTGACTCAGCCTTTCATCTTTCTGTGATCAGTAAAATGAGGACTGAGATTGTTGGGAGCAATATGCTGACACTAAATGGTTCCACCCCAAAACCGCGGTAGACTAAAGCGTGTGTGACTAAAGCGCGGTCACAAAACCGCACTGTCAAAACCGCGCGACAACAGCGCGCCGACAACAGCGCGCCGACAGAAGCGCGCTGTAACATAACCCTAAA